CACCGGCTGTCTTGGTTCCACCCCGAGGATTTCACTGAGAGAACACGTTAGAGGGAATCAGGAAGCAGAGAAAAGGTCACAAAATAAGCACCTCAGGAACAATGAAAGCTTTTCTCTATGCAGCAGTGGGGGAGTTGCTAGAAAAACTGGAAAGGTATTAATCAGAAGTGGCTATAAATCCTCTGGAGTTTTGCTCTTATAAAACTCCTCAGAGAAAGTCTTGAAGGAAATGCAGGTCAAAGCCCAAAAAAGCTCTTGATCAGAGATTGCCGGAGGAAAATCTTCCCAGACGCCGTTTAATAGGCAGCAATCACCCCAGGAGTGGGGAAGCCAAGTACGCTTGAAACATGGTTGCAATTCCTAATAGGTCTTGTCACACTTAAGGCACTGCAAGCTCCATCCAACGAACAGCTGAAGCTAGCTGGCGATTCATAAAGCCAACAGTTTAAAGTTTATTATGATGAAAGCACTTAATGACAGCCATCGCTAGGGGCCCATCATTTATAAAGCTGTGCTGAGTATTAGACATGTAGCATGACCACCAATTTTATGTCACAATTGCTACCATAAAATGACCTTTGGTGATTTTTGCTGCATGTGGTGGACAGCTCTTCCTTCACATTAGTGCTCTGTGGCTTTCTTTGCAGACTATTATGCTGTCTAAAGCTTATTTGGCACTGCCGTGAGCCTCAACCCTTGTTATTACCCCGAAGGCCTGTCTTAAAAAAAAAAACAACTCATGCTCTATTACGCCACTCCAATAATTTACAGTTCTTACCAGCCTTGGTTAGTGTAATATTTTAATGCAAATATGCTTTACCACTGCATTTTATTTAAAAAGAAAAAAGTTCCCATGCTTCTGGCTGGCGCAATATCCATTTGATGGGAGTTCACTGAAATCAGTCTCTTATTCCCTGGTCAGGTCTCACTGAATGGGCACACGTTTCCCTGATGGGTTAAAACACCTTCAGAAAAAAAAAAAAAGGTTAATTAAACTTCTCTTGAGAAAGAGAGATTTTTTTTAAAGATCCTATGTGTGATAAACCCACCTAAGGCAGAAACACCAATTCTTATTTCCCTACATCCAGTCCCCAGTGCAAATTTGCATCTGAGTAACATTATTTAATTAGGATTCCATTTGCCAACCTGCTTTGTGTAGTTAGAAAGTGTTTGAATACACAGCCCCTGTACGGCTCCAATGCAAACCACTGCTGAGAAAGCGGTCTGTCCATGCTACACCACCTTTAAATTGTGTATATAATTTTATAAATGATATAAAATCTGCTTCTAGTCCCTGAAAAAAAAAAGAAAAGAAACACAAGCATGGCACACTGCAATTTTGGAAGGATTTAAAATATGTGATTTCTGCTGGTACCTACTGTATTGGTTTTTATATAAAGCTTTTTTCAATAAGGTAAATTGTTACATGACAAACTCATCTTCCACCATTATCATCTGCTGTTTGTGTTTAACAACAGGAGTCCCGCTCTAACAAAACTGTTGTAATGGCTGTACAAATTACTCAGCTGAAAGCTTTTCGCCAAACAAAACAGTATTAATCAGCAGTTCTTATGAAGGTGCTAATTAAAAACAATTTTCTTCCTCAGTTTGCAATACTAAAGCCATCTTCACTTGCACAGTTTCCAATATACAGCTACTGTATTTGCTCACACTTCAGGCCCTCTATTAACTATTGAATCTCCCATTAGTCATTTTATTACGTTTCTGTTCACAAGCTTGTTGACATTTTAGAAGTCACAGTATGATCTATTAAAAAATGTATTAATGGACAAGTCAGGGGACAGAAAAGGAAAAATGTAGACTCCAAGTGCGCCGACTTCTAGAGCAGAGAACGCATGAACGCTCAGCCACGGCCTGGGCAGTGAGCTCTCCGGGTGAAACAAAATCTGGGAATTAAAACTGGCATTTCAGGCTTAATGTTTTTTTTAAACACCAACAGGCTCCTTCTTAATTTGGAAATAGTCCTCTCTGGAAAACATTTGCACTATCCCGAAATTCAGTTTTGAAGGAGACCTAGTCTGACTTTCAAATCAATCTTTTCTCTATGTGATACAATCAGAAGTATGACATTTCCTACAGTCTCAACTCAGATTTTGATCTGGGTTGGAGTGTGGGAACTGGAGCCCCGATCTAGGATCTAAACAGCTTAATCTTCCCTGTAAGTGTATCTGTGTGTACGTGTGTCTACATATACTTGGATTCCGAGTCACTATCCTGTCCTGTTCCCCACCCCCCGGCACCCTGCTGGACAGGGCCACAAAACTGATTGGCATCGATTGCAAACAAGTCAAATGCTGACTAAGCGCAAGGACAAACTCCATGGAAGCTGGGTTGAGGGAAGAGAACAGTCTATTTCTATTTTAAAAACAGAAAACAAAAGTCTAACCTTTAGGGGAAAGTATGCCCCACTTTGGTAGTGGACAGAAGGAAAAAAACACCACTACCCCAACATTGTCCTGCCTATGGTATTAAAACCAGGTTCTTCAACTGTCAAAAGCAGTTAACTAGTTTAGGACAGACACCTGGCTGTTGCAATAGGGCTCCAGAGGGCCACTAATCCTTCCATTCACTCAGTTAACTGCTGGATCCCCCAAATTGATTCAACAGGTATGCAGCGGTAAATTCAGCCCCTACAGAAGGCAAAGGGAAAACCAGCAAGGGGCAGGCAGCTCGTCTCTGAAAACACCCGAGGAACCAGCCAGAAAAGCTTTTATGGCCCAGACAAGTTTTCTGCTGAATACTGAGCACCTAAATTACCCTTCCCTAATGGAAGTTACATTTTCATGCTCAGTCAAAAAGCCAACAAAATACACAATTTATACAAAATGGCATCAGCCTCTTAGGTAGTTTTTTCTAGCACTTTTATCCCAATTCACAGCATATGTCTTGCTATAAAATAAAATACGTTTCTTATAACCAACTTGTATGTGGCTGCTCATATCACCGCATTGGAACTGACCATGGGTGATGTTAGCCATGTTCTTATAGCCACCAAATCTACTTAGGATGACAAAGGAAAATCATGAAGATACAGGTACAGTGGGAAGAGGAATATCATAATAATTCTTATGATGTCCTAAGCATACAGGCTTCCTTTGAAAACAAACACATGCATAATTAATTACATAATAGGCAATTATGGAATGGGACATTTCAGCTGCAATTAGACAACCCAACACTGATGCATAGAAATAATTCTTAATTATAAAGTCCAAAAGAAATGTAAATGGATAAACTTTCTAAAGCAGCTATATCTCCCCCTTCTCAATATTGGGATTTTATTAAAATGTGAGAAAATAAAAAAGCACTCTTAAGTTATTGGATAATATACATTAGTTTCTCACAGACTTCCAAAGAGCCTGGCTAGAGCATTTCTAGCTGAGGATCCCATAAAGAGGAGAGCTATGGAACCCCAGGCATTTTACAAGAGATTCTCTAGGCTTTAATCACACAATAAGCACGTCTTTTACTAGATATTTCTCAGTAAAAACAGCTCCATTCTTACACCCTGTCTCAAGCTTAGGTAACTAACTGTACACACCATTCTTAGATACTAAAAAAAATACATTACTGGTTTACTTTTTAAAATACAATTTCTCTCAGAAAAATAAACACTGGATGCACAAATGCAAATTGAATTCTTGCCAGTTCATGTATTTTCATGAGGAAAAGTGGAAATATTCTCATGATTCTGCTGTTCTATATTTTAAGAGAAAAAATAAAGAAGAATAGACCATCTCAGGTGCCACTGCAGAGATGGGTTTCCTTTGTCTGGCAGACTTAGTTGTAGGTTTTACAGAAGAAATCATTTCTGCTGTATTTTCACAAGTACAAATGGAACTACCTGTGTTGCCTTTTAAAACATTCCAAATTCTAATTTTTAAACAAGGAAATATGAAGCCAGTGTGCAACCTATACAGTTGCCAAAGGAGAGCTGCCACTAGCTGAACTACTCAGCTAAATGGCTGGTTTGCATTGCCCTGGGCTTTATCTAGCACTGAGAATAGACTGCTGTTTTATCCAAAGAGGAATAAATTGCTGTTATTGTGATGTTAGCCCATCACTTGGCATTGCAATTCAAGTTTTTGTGAGAAAGAAATGTATGATCTAACTGCGACTTGACCTGTGCCTTTCGAGATCCATCTAGGTGCTCTAATGGAGCAGAAAAAGTGGTGAATACAAGGACATGCAAACTGATGGTGAAAAATTTGTTTGATGATAGAAGGGAGCAGAGAAGACATTTGAGAGTCAGCTGTTTTTATGACGGCTAAGTTTGTTTAACATGCAAAAGATGCCCCCCACAGGCTCCCTTTAATTGTATCACACTAAATGCATGCTTATAAAGATATGAGGATGTATAGCTAACCTACTAATGACATGACTACTAAAGTGGGCACAGATGAGTCCTTACAGATAAACATCTGAATTTCCACAAAAGGCATTAGAGCATCTCGTGGATGCACTAGGCAAGAATATGCTTGGGTTCCCTGCAGAAAAGTCATTCCCTCTTAATCCTAGGTAGTACCTATTAAATGTTTACTATAAACTTGAATCAAGTCCTATAACAATATATACTTACTTTAAATAAGATAATTGTGTGATTGAGTTTTTTTAAAAACTCCCCCTGGTTGCCATCTAGTTTCTCAACCATTTATTCAAAATTTCTCTGCAAAGGACCTATTTTGAAAGAGGCCTGGAGAACAGCAGCAGTTAGATTTGAGCCCTGATAAAGGCTCACTTTTCATTCATAGTCAGAGCCTAAATGTGCTCTTCTTGTACCTAAACAGATAATAAGCACTCAGCACACTCCTCCTCCTTGACACAACACATTGAGACTAATCACACATAATTGGAGAGGAGGAGCAGAGGGCTGGCCACGCTATTGTGTCCAGAGGACAAACGGTCAGTTTATGAGGCTTTGGGCTGATGTAGTCATTTCTTACACATCTATAGGGAAAAATCCATCCTGCTTAAAAGGA